ATTTATTAATTTTTCTTTTTTTTGTAATAGACAAAATATCTCTGCCTTTCTTTGAGTGCATAGTGACATCCTCTTTTGTAAGAATCATTCATAAAAAATGTTTCCCGCTCTTCCATCCAATTAAGAAAGAAAGAAAGAAAGAAATAAATCTATTAATTTATTATTAATAAAAACATGATTGTTATTTGTAATAATAATAATAATAATAATAATAATAATAATAATAATAATAATAATAATAATAATAATAATAATAATAATAATAATAATAATAATAATAATAATAATAATAATAATAATAATAATAATAATAATAATAATAATAATAATAATAATAATAATAATAATAATAATAATAATAATAATAATAATAATAATAATACATTTTTAAAAAGTTTTCCTTTTGTGTAGGTCTGTTGTCTTTATAGTTAATTTTATGTAAAATGATTAAAGTCTGTCATGGAGCAAATTTGTACCTTGAACTTTTCACGGGGTCAATTGACAAGAGTAGATGAATACTTTATTAATGCAAATCATATCTTTAAAAGTAATCTCTATGTGCTAATATGCACCCTCTAGGGGTACATAAGGTGTAAAGATGTACTGCACCTTTGAGAGTTCTTCCTCAATCGCAATTAAAAAAGTCATATTTTTGCACATTTTTGGAGAGTGCATGTCCTCATTTAGATAGACGAGTAAACGTGCATGTGTTCAGAAATCCTCTTACTGCTTTCTAAAGTCTTTCGTTTGTGCCCTCCTGCCACAGGCCTTTCATACACCACAAAAATCTCTTCCGGCTAAACCAGAAACCGAACAACTAGAGGTAAACATGAAATGACGGATTATGGGCTGCTTTAGAGCTTGACTTTGAAAAAAATTAGATCAAAGATTAGACCAAAGACCAGTCAGTGCTGCTTGTGCTGTCAGAGCTGCTTTATTATGTGCTTCATGTTTGTGTTTGATGTCCTCGATTACATTGTGTCTAATGTGTTGTATATTTTATAGGAAACCTCAGAACTGAGTGCCTCATCGGAGGAGTTCAAATGATTGCTGGATTCAAACTTCGGGGCTTTGAGATTTAGACAGATCAACTGGAATTATGGGTAATAACAAGAGGATGATTCAGTGTCTCTGTTTATAAAATTGTGACTCAGTTTTATTTAGTTTAGTTAGCACAGACGAAAACAATAATCATGTGTAGCTTCTTGAATTTGTAGTCTGATAATGTTTGTGAAATAAATGCACAACTGGATATCACAGTGAATTGTGGATGTGATTCATATTAACAGGTTCATACAGTACATATACAGTTGTAGTGACTTGTAAATAATCAATTAAACTGGAAAAACTAAATTAAATTAAAAAAACACAGTTGCACTTTATTTTACAGTACATAAAGTGCACATACTTATCTAAGAAAGCACTGGGTAATATAAGGTAACTACATGGGTTCAGGGTTATTACCTAGTTATTGTATTATTAAAAAAGTGCATAGCATGTGGAACAGGACTGTAAAAAAAACATAATCTGAAAGCTGAATAAATAAGCTTTCCATTGATGTATGGTTTGTTAGGATAGGACAATATTTGGCCGAGATACAACTATTTGAATATCTGGAATCTGAGGGTGCAAAAAAATTAAATATTGAGAAAATCACCTTTAAAGTTGTCCAAATGAATTTCTTAGCAATGCATATTACTAATCAAAAATTAAGTTTTAATATATTTACAGTAGGAAATTTACAAAATATCTTCATGGAACATGAGATTTATTTAATAACCTAATGATTTTTGGCATAAAAGAAAAATCTATAATTTTGACCCATACAATGTATTTTTGGCTATTGCTACAAATATACCCCAGCGACTTAAGACTGGTTTTGTGGTCCAGGGTCACATATAATAAAATATTCAATAATGTTTATATCTTAAATTAAGCATAAACCCCATTAATTTGTAACAATTATTAATTATTGTTACAATTAATACGAGATAAATATATAAACTTAATTCAAGATATATTTAGTGCAACATCAGGTCTTAAGTAGTTTTTAAATTGATTTTGTTACTTTAAATTGTTGTATTAATACAGTGTAATACAGCTTCAGATAATATCCTGAATTGTGTTTATATCTTGAATTAAGCACAAACCCCACTAAATCTTATGTTTTAAGTATGTTCAGACATATTTACTAAAAAAAGACAAAAACACTAATTAAGAACATGATTTTTGCAGTCTGAGAGCGAAACAAAACATAAATAATGATGCTGGGGGTTTAATGAGTGAATTAAACCAATTATACTAAAGTCTGGATTTCTATTCTAAGCACCAATATCAGCTTTATATTTCCAAATGTATCCACTGCAGTCAAAAGGCTACTAGCTCCTATCTATTGCTAACAGCCATGCCAGTGTCCCCTGACTGATAACAGACGGATGCTGGGTGTTCACATCATGAGTTTTCACCCACTCTAAATTATTTCTGCTTATTTGGCACTGAAAATTACTGTGGCCCATATCATTAGTTTTACAGATTGAGGCTGAAGGCTGGCTTCCCTACAGATCCAGCTCTGGAGCAGAGTGCAGAGTACAGGGTTAGAGAATTAGAGTTTCAGGAAACAATGTGCTCACAGTGACACTTTATGAAAAAAAATGAATCAATTCTGTCAAGCTTTCATTTCATTGTTCGTGGGTATTCATGTTTGCCAGCTGGCCAAGACGTAAATTATAGGAATGTTTGGGGAGAAAGCTATTTTTATTGAACTCACCACTGTTGCTATTTGATTATTGTGATTGTGATAGTGGCAGCTCATGGGTTTTAAAATAGAGGAGGCACACTAATTGTATTGGTCTGGGATCCCTGTCGATTATTAGGGGTTCAAGCACGCAGTGCTGAAACCCTATATTGGTATGGGATCCCTGTCGATTATTAGGGGTTCAAGCACGCAGTGCTGAAACCCTATTGTAATTGTAAGGATGTTTTTTATTATTATTTTTTCTCCGCTAAAACTGATCATGCAGACCAAACCACTTTAAATTGGCTTTTTGGTTGCTTTTAGTCAGAAAACGTAAAGAAAACGACACACATACAGCAAGATAATATAATTTCACTTACTGGCCTATCACTTGAAACAAACATCCATCTCTTCTTAAAAGTCTGTGTTAAAAGAGAGCTGCCTGTTGCGCCATTTAAATAAGCCAACTGCTGTAGCCTATATCGAGCTTAGGCTGTTTTCCCTTTTTTGAAATTTGTATATATAGACCAATTTGGAGTAGACGTCACAGTTACGTCACCTGCAGCTGAGCGCGCATTGTGGTGGCAGAAAAACACTGGGAACAATTGGAGGGAAGCGGGTAAAATCCACGGAATAAGAGAAAAACTGTATTGTTGTGCCTTTGGATGTCAGAATCGGAATGCAAATAATTTTATATAATAATCGTCAAAGATGCCATTTGAAGCTAAACGCAGACGTTTAAACTGACAGACTATGGATGAAACCTGCTATGATTACCCTACTTTAAAGCATAAATTAGATTTAAACAATAGGTCTATATAATATTCACATATGGGACATATTGTATTAGCCCTACAGTTAAAGCATGAAATAGGCTAATATTTAAACATATAACATTTTACATAACATTTACCTATTTTAACTCACAATTCTGACTTTTTTTTTCTTGCAAATGCAAGTTTATCTCCTAGTTCGAACTTTATAACTTAATTCAACTCAACAATTGCGAGTTTATCAATTCTGAGGGAAAAAAGCCAGAAGTGTGGTATTATAAACTTATGATTCTGAGAAAAAGAGAGAATGACGAGTTGATTTTTCTTACCAGAATTAGCAGATATAATCTCGGAATTTAAAGAAGAAAATCGGAATTTTGAAATATAAACTCAAAATTTCCTTTTTTATTCCATGGCTTGCATAGCAAACTGAACCTCGAACCGAAAACTGAAAGCGACACACCTGTAATAAATCACGAATCAACATGTTTCGGAAATGAAGCAGTCAGTCAAATTTAAATCATTTAAGAAAATAACTTCCATTTTAATAAAAAAATATATAACAAACATGATTAATGTAACCATTTTAAAGAAAAAATGTTGTTTTGTTATAGCTTTTGGAGCAAGGGCGCCGCCATCTTGCAGTACCACCGCGTGTGACGTCACGGGGTTGGTTTGCTCCGTTGGCCAGTGAAGTAATATAAGCATTTCTTTACATTTTGAACACACGCTTGTTTTGAAATGGAGCAAGACGAACTTGAAAGCACTGTTGAGTCCATAATAAGTGTAATTGCCTATGCATTTGAGCCGATACGGCGATGGGACCGAGCAGTATTAGGGCTTGAAGAAGTCGTGAACCTGCTGTTTTGGGGTAAAGTGCGGATCGTAAACAATACTCGTTTACGTGGATACTCCTCAAGACTGTCATTCCGACGTGCTTTTGTGTGCATTTGCTGATGAAGGCGTGAAAAGCTCAATTTGGTAGCCTACTCACGTGCTGTCCGAGCCGAGCTCTGGCTTTTTGTTTGTGTGCGGCGCCGCCGGCGCGAACAGAAATGATCTATAATTCACAATGCGTGAGTACCACATTTAAATCTTTCAGAAAAGGTCTATCACAGCCTGTAAGTACCGCATTGAAATCTATTTCATGCTGTCTCATGCTAGAATGGCTTAAAACACTATAATATTTAAACTGACAAGGCTTAAAACATGTGAGAATGATAAACTTTATTGAGGAATCAGCACTGGTCCGATTGTTCAGATAGGTGATTAGTTAAACACTACCTGTTAACAGCAGGAAAGCTGTTTGTACTCAAGCTAATTGTATTCGCAGGTGAACATAAAATATGATACATACAACTGGTGAACCAGTCAGTGTAATGCATATGTCTTAATGGTCTGACATAACAATAAAATGCAACATGAATGACATTGCATGAAGCGTTGTTTGTTTACATCACTTTGCGCCTTGCATTATGAAAACAATGTTTGGGATACCACGATCAAAACTTAGCATATAGACAGTTTGATGTTGAATATTTATCCAAATTATGGTGAAAACCAAATTATTTGTGTTTTAAAATAACATTTGTGTGTTCAAAATGTAAAGAAATGCTTATATTACTTCACTGGCAATAGGAGCGAACCAACCCCATGATGTCACACGTGGTGGTACTGCAAGATGGCGGCACCCTTGCTCCAAAAGCTATAACAAAACATCCCTTTTTCTTTAAAATGGTTACATTAATCATGTTTGTTATATATATTTTTAAAGTGGAAATAACTTAAGGTTAATAACTTAACTGAGTGCTTCACTTCCACTTTAAAATTGGCATTTTCTGCCACCAGATAGGCTCTGCCCACAAAAACCATCATCACTTTGAAACACTGAAATTGGTCTATACTGTTTGAATGACAGCTTGGTAAATCTGTTTGGCAATCAAATATTCAATATCGCTACTCATCATAAGTACTTGGTACATTATCAGCGCAGCGGCAGACGTTCAAACTAATATCACCTAATTTATGTCTCTATGATGATTGGTTGATATCAGAAGGGAGGCCTCCCTTACGAGGTTTCTTTTCTCAACACTCCTCAGTGCTGAAAGTGAACACTAGATGGTGATTGGCTAATTTTTTTTACCAACGGAGGCACGAGAGCTCAGCTCTCCCCCGGCCTCCCCCTACCCTTCTCTATCATTAGCAGTTGTTATTACATCAGCAGATTCGGCACATTCGCGATAGAAAAGCGGCGCTTTCACATTATAGTATTACAACTGTGATATTACAAACAAAAAATACACATTCTGAGACATGAACTGAAATGAATTGTGAATTTTATTAACATTAAATCATCCAATTCCCAGGACGAGCCGCCACTGGATTGTGAATGTCTGATTTGTTTCTGCGAAAGCAAATAATGGACAAAATAAAATTAATACAACATGCATCGAGAGATTAAATGAGAATTATACAGTTAATTATTATGCACAAAAAGTCAACAATTAAAGGGATAGTTCACCCAAAAGGGATAGTAGTTTTGGGTGAACTAACCCTTTAAGCCAAATAATCTCTTATTGTTCATATTGTCAGTTTAGTAAAATAT